TGAACAACATTTTAACTTCCTGACACCGTTTTCAAAACTTGGACCCGAGTGTCGAGCCACTTGGAGACATCTCTTGTCTCCTAACATCCCATGAACTGACACATTTTAATATTGCAGCAAGAATTTCTTGTTCGAGTTCAGAAGAAGTTGGTTTTCAAAGTTTTTTGAGTCCAGTCTGGCTCTTCTGGGAGAGAAAATCTGTCCTGCTGTACTGAACAGTCTTTCAATGGTCTTTCAATAAGGCGGTGTGTATCTTCTGGCTGACTCTCTGCGGTGGAATCCATTTGGGTGTGTTAGCGGTGCTGTGGGTGCACCCAGCTCAGTGACGAATAATAATACTCAAATATACGTAATGTAGTGTAATAGAAAGTACAGATAATTGATGCAAAATGTAGTGGAGTAAAAGTCGAAAGTACCCACGTTTAACTCTACTTAATAAAGTACAGATACATGAAAAATATACTTAAGTACAGTGCATGTCACCACTGGCAGTTGGAACTGATATGACCAATGGTTCATGAGATAGTTTGCCTAAACATAAACAAACACATACACATCTTCTGTCATTCCCCCAGTGGATGCAGTAGTAATAACAGAAGTAATTCTATGGCAACAGTTTTTTTTTTTTTCCCCCAGGTACATAGATTTTTGCAAAGTGGTTATCAACCTGAACAACTCACTGGATGAAGTAGAATGTGCTCAGTCAACCTCTAAAACTTGTTTTCCAGTTTCCCATTTCTCATTGTTCCCCTCTTGGTGGCTTCTTTGGGTTCTTCTTTGACTAATGTTCAGTACAAAGCAACTCAATAGACAAACTGGAGCAATAAAGGATGGTAATGATTGTGATTTGGACGCGGACCAACAAAGATCTACTAATCAATCTGCTGCAGCTAATCAGACCATTAACTTTAGGGAGTTCACTCTGCAGTGGAAGGAAGGAGACACAGTAAATGTGATTCATGAGCAGCTTGGACTTGGATAACTGAAAAAACCCAAACAAGATAGTGTCTTGATATTTGTACATTTCAGGTTTAGTTAGACAAGTGCAACTCCAAAACACTTCAGAGGATGCTGGAGCCACAGGTTGAATGACAAGTACTTCATCACCTGTGGTCCGCCTGTGGTATACAACCCCAATTCTGAGTGACATAGAGCGATGTGCAACATAAATATAACAGAATGCAGTGATTTGAAAAGAACATAAAGCCATATTTTACTTAAAATAGAACTAAGCTAAACATTTGATATGTTTACTGATAAACTGGACAATTTTATGGAAAAAAATAATGTACATTTAAGCCAACACTGTGATGTGTCTCGTCTTCTAACAAAAACTTTAAAAGTCTTCAGTTGATCCAAAATTCTGCTGCTAAAGTTTTAATGACAGTTAGTGGGAGAGATCATATCTCTCCAGTTTTACTTTCTCTCCAATGGCTCCCTGTCAAGTCCAGAACTGAGTTCAAAATCTTACTTCTAAAATACAAAGCTCTCAACAGCCTACATCTTATATTCGAGATTTTATTCTTCCATATTTTCCTAACAGAGCATTTCACTCTCAGACTGCAGGTTTACCTGTGGCTCTTAGAGTTTCCAAAAACAGAATGAGAGGAAGATCTTTCAGTTATCAGGCTCCTCTCTTGTGGAACCAACCTCCAGTTTCTGGCTGTGAGGCTGACACATTGTCCAGTTTTAAGACTGAGCTTAAGACTTTCCTTTTTGATAAATCCTATAGTTATGGTTGTCTTGGCTTTCCTGAGCTATCCCATAGTTATGCAGCTACAAGCTTAGACTGCAGGAGGACAAATTGACCACATTTCCTCACTCCGCTGCTGACTTTACTTGCTATATGTTTGTATTTGTATTTATTTCTATCCTTAACTTTTTTTTTTTTTGTCTTTCTTCCTATAGAAACCTTGTTCTGCCATTCTGTGTCTGTTTCTCCTTCCTGTCCTCTCAAACCCCAGCCGGTTGAAGCAGATGGCCGCACATCCTGAGCCTGGTTCTGCTGGAGGTTTCTTCCTGTTAAAAAGGAGGGGGTTTTTTTCCACTGGTGCCTTTGTGCTTGCTCAGGATGGGAGACTGCAATGAAGTGAAGATTCAACACAATCTGCTGGCGTCCTTAGATAACTTTTACAAATTGGCTTATATATATATATATAAATGTTTCTGTTCAGTGCCCTGACATTGTTGTGATTTGGTGCTATATTAATAAACTGAATTGAATTGAATTAACCAAAGTCTGTAAACGTCTAGAAACTGAGATGAGCAGTTGCTGGAGCTTTTGAAGGGGGAATGTTGTTCCATTCTCTTCTGACGTGGGGTTCTAGTTGTAGGGTAGTTCAGCACTGTTACAAAGCCATGCTGTTGTAGTGGATGCAGTAAGCTGCTTAGCATCGTCTTGCTTGAATGTGCAAGGCTTTTTCTACAAAATAAAGATATTTGGATAGGAACAGACGTTCTACAACCTATATATACTTGTCTGCATTGATGGTGCTTTCCCAGTTGTGTGAGCTGCCTGTGTCATAGATGCTAATCTACCCCCATACCATCAGAGAGGTTTCTGAACTCTGCACTGATAACAGACTAGATGGTCCCTCTTCTCATTCACACAGAGGATGTGGCATCCATGGTTTCCAGAAATAATTTCTAAGTTTTAATTAATCTGACCACTAAACAGTCCTCTTACTGTCCTGCTGCCAAAACAGTTATCTGCCCAATGATCCTCCAGCTGTTTCTTTTAAATACCACTTACTTTTAGTCTTTTATTGTTCCAGAACCTTCATTTTTGAATTGTGTTGCTGCCATTGGATTTAAAATTATCTACTTTTTTCATAAAAAATGGTACATTTTCTTAGTTTAAACATTTGCCATGTCATCTTTCAGAAAACAGTACAACCAAGTAAGCCATGTTGAGCTCTTCATGCAATTTTGTTACATAATTTGAGCTGACTGTTTTGTTTGCACGAGCTGTTCAGTCTCTGAGCAATTGAGGCTCAGAATTGCTGATGAGCCATTTAAAGCCGGTAGCACCAGCCATCTCTTTCGAAACCATTAGGAATAACATTGAGCATTAGTATGTATGCAGTGTGTCGGTAAATACTAGCTGACAGAAGATCAACCAAGTTGGCTCATTAGTGGATGTGTGCATGAGGGGGTGCTTTTATTTTTATTTTTTCTTCCTACAGCAAATTAGCCTGTCCCAAAACCAAAAGAGGAATAATGATGTTTAAACTTTCAAAATGTCAAATATACCCCTAAAAAAAAAACAACAACAACACAAAAATATAACCATTTGTTGTTGCTGCTGATGGAGGTCTGCACTGGCTCTCTTGGGAGCTATGGTGCAATTTCCAGCATTATTATTCAGGAGGAGGGGGCAGAGAAAACAAAAAAGGTTCCTTAACTGAAGTGTCATTAATTTGAAGTCACACCACGGTCAGAAAAATAGAATTAAAAGGTAATCACAACCTGCACTGCCTGCTGATGTATCCATTTGGTTGAGCGGGCTTTATGGAAATTCATTTAAATATGTAATTTCCTGCAGGTGGCCGCTTGTTTAAATATGACATCATTGAGTCTGCGTGCAGTTCCGGGTCCTCACCGCCAGAGGGCAAAGTACGTCGAAAGGGATCGACGGCGTACGTCTGACGTAGCCGGAAGTGGGCAAAAAAAAGACAACAAAACTGTTACAGGAAAATCGTGATGAAATTAAATACAATGACACAAATTATGTGGTTTCTGAGCAGTGGGATTTAAATATTGCTCATTTTCGAACCACGTTTGTGTTATTCGCACGGAAAAGACAACAAGTAAGTCATTACGGCCATTATTTTTCTATAATTGTAAAGCTAGCAGAGGCAGCTAAAGATAATGATTTGACACTTGGGGTTTTCTTTTCGGTTTAAGTATGTCCAGTTTACGTGACGTTTATAGAATTAAGGCGCTCTTTTTGTGCACGGTTACGTGGCTTGAGCCGACACTCACAAATGCATTAATTTAAGGTTAAGAAACTGCAGAAATATTCAATAATAAAGCCAAATCAATGCTGCAGAAGAGCAACAAATTCCGGATGAAGTTCTGCTTATATGGTGCAATTTGATTAAAAGGTGAAATGAAGATGCAATAGTTGTTTTTCAACCGAATTTTTCCACTGAAAAAAAAAAAAAAAGCATTTTGTCCAACAAAAAGAGAAGTAGATCTGGTGTCTAACAGGAAATGTCATCTGACCTTATATCAAACAAATCACTTTCGTGTCCTCTCTCTCACGTGGTAATACTTATTTTAACGTTCCTTCCAAGTATAAACTTGGGTCAGTTTTGTTTTGTCTGTTAGCAAAATATCTATTGCATTAGTTAAGATATTTTAATGAAAGCTTCAGATAGTTATAACTGCATTAACATCTACAGTCCATCTATTAGTCAGTATAATTCAAGATGGCCGCCACAGCAATGTGATCTTAGCCAACACATGAATGGTAATAACTCTGTCATTTTTTTCATATATTGAGCTCAAATTTGGTGTGGTAGTAGCTGAGACTGAACCCAAACTCATACTCGGAGCACTGAGCCATTTGCACCTTTTCCTCACCTTGTACTCAACACCTTCAAGACTTAATCCAATTAATTTAGTTGCCACAGCCAACTGCCTGAAGGCTGACTTTAACTCGGTTAATTTGATAGATATTGAGCTAAAATTGGGCGTGACGGTAGATGAGTCATCCTCAACATATACTTCATTCACTAACAGATTATGTAAGATCTTGCAGTGTTGTATGAGGCACTCCTAAAGTAACTAAAATGGTAAGGGCTGTGTTCTCTCCCATTATAAGATATACTTTCCTTCAATGAATGCTAGACCTTTACTTGAAGTGATTGTTTATTCTTAGTTACTCATTAGTAACATTTTATCATTTTCATTGTACCATAAAATGTGAATTTCTTTTTTCTTTTTATGACCAAGTATTTTAAAAGTCACCATTTGGAAGATCTCCTTGCATCTGTCCAATGTCTTCTGGCTGTCCACCACAATCACCTGCTGTTGCAAAGTCTGAGGTAGCTGTGGAGGGAGAATGTCCTCTGCTGGCTGCCACCTTCGCCTACTGGGACAACATCCTGGGTCCACGTGTCCGCCACATCTGGGCACCGAAGGGCGATCAGATGATGTTCCTCAGCGATGCAGAGGTCACCTTTCTGGCCAACCACACACTCAATGGGGAGATTCTGAGAAGTGCGGAGTGTGGTGCCGTGGATGTGAAGTTCTTTGTCCTGGCAGAGAAGGGCGTCATCATCGTGTCTCTTATCTTTGATGGCGAGCTGAAGGGGGATAAGAATACGTGTGCCTTGTCCATCATCCTGCCTCAGACAGAGCTGGCCTTCTACCTGCCGCTGCACGCCATCTGCGTGGAGAGACTAAAGCACGCAATCCGCAAAGGACGCATCTGGATGCAGAAGGTAAGCTGATGTTTCCTGCCCAGATGTTGTTCGGTTAAATGTTAAAACTCTAAACACGATCAGTCATTGTAATTAAACTTTTCACCTTTCAGTTGCAAGAATAGATTTTGTCATTTAAAAATTCTTGTTTGATATGAGTTGTAAAAAGTATTGCAGGTATTTATTTTTGCCTTTTGGAAAGACAAAAAGCTTCTGTTCTGGACATGTTTTCCAGGTGATGATGTTTTGTTTTAGTTTTTCTTTTTATCTTTTTCACAATTACAGTGAGAAGTGCCTCTTTTTTATCATTTTCTGAAGTCCTAATTAGTTTTAATTGTAACTGGAATACAGTGTCTAAGCACTTTTCTAAAGCTCGTCTTTTTGTAGTCACTAGTGAACATAAAAAAATTCTACCTTTCTTAGTTTGATGTAAAATTCAACTTTGACCATTATTTGCAGTTAATTCAATAACAAAAATCAATGACCAAATAAAAAAAAAGCTAGGATTTATAATTTTCAAATGCAACATGGTCTGAGGTTAAAGCTGGATGGAAATAAACTAGGCTGGAATATTGTTTTATATATTGAAGAATAAATGTATTTTTCCACTGCAAATCTAAGTCTTTAAAACTTAAAAAGCCATAAAATGCAAAAAAGGATTGTTGCCTCTTTGAAATGTGGAGTTTGCTTTGTGTCATGTAACACTTGATTTGTTGTATGACATATAAAGACTGAAAAACACAAAGAACAGGAGAGGCCAGAAAGGAGTTGGATACTTTTATAAAGCTCCATTTTAAAAGCAAATGGGGGGAGTGGTGGCGCAGAGGTTAGAGGAGGCAAGCCGGTGATGGGAAGGTCACCGGTTCAACTCCCCGAACCGACAACATAAATTAAAAATATGGGTGGGAACGATGACGCACCCACATCTGCCTCCACCCTCATCCTCCCCACCATCTCTGCTCCACACAGAGGGCTGTGGTAGCTCAGTGGTCTGTGGTTGTGTCAGGAAGGACATCCAACGTAAAAACAATTGCCAAGTCTTCATGTGAGTTCGCTGTGTCGACCCCTGACGAGGGGAGCAGCCGGAAAAAAAAAATAAGACCAAACCTATGTGAGGGTAACTGTAATGTCACTTCCTTTATTTGGACCATAAACATTCTGCTGTTAAGACAAAAGATAATGGATTGATGAATGTTTTTGGCATCACCTGTATTTTATGGAATAAAAACCAGCTCCAGAAATCTTTGAGTTTGTAGGATTTATATATGTTTCTATAAACTGGACATTTCTTCTATCCTTTAACTTCAGGGCTACAATATCATCTCAGTGCTGAGCTTAGAGATTTCCCCAATCATGGAGCTGTTGGCCTCGATGAAATCACACAGTGTGCCTGAAGATGTAGATGTAAGCAACACACACACTAACACACAAGAACTAAATTCAGTTTGACACGAGAAAAATGCTGAAACATTGTTTGCATGAAGTTTGGTTCGTATTTTAAGTCTCAGTGCCTTCAGAGATGTGACCAATATAATGGAAGAAATGCTTTTAAAGCAGATCTCATGTTTGCTGTGGCAGAAAACAACTGAATATTTCTGTAGCCACCCATCAGGATTCAACACATTTGCTCTTCTTGAAAATACAAAAAGGACTAAAGAAGCTGCCCTGAATCTTTATTTTTGTTGTCTCTATCTTTTAAATCAGCACTTTTGTTTTTGTTGTAGTCGTGTTTTAACAAGGACTCGTTTGTTTCGCTCTTGCTAATCAGATAAAAGACACGGTGCTAAATGATGATGACATCGGGGACAGCTGCCACGAGGATTTCCTCCACAAGTAAGCCACCCGCTTCCGACAAATGGAGACAGATGATGAACAATGGTCATTTAACACCCGTCAAGCTTCCAGTGATGAGTGATGGCTCTCCGCTTAGCTCAAGTTAGCTACAGAGAAACAATGGATCACGGTTTAGTGTGGCGAGTCTGTAAAGTCCTTATAAACTGAAAAAAACCTACTTTTGCCTCAACTTCCTGTGATAATTATAAATCTTTTGCTTAAAAAACTACTTTGATGTGTATTATCTGGGACCATTAAAGAGGATTTCTCACAGAAAGGCTGAAAGTATGAGCTGAATTAGGAGTTTAAAGTTTGTTTTATTTTATTTACATATGTTTTCACCATGTTACAATTAGTTTTGGAATTCTTCTATTTAATCGCTCAGATCCAATTTCTCTGCCTCGTGTTTTACACATAAAAACTGTTATTAATAACTGCATGAATGCTTTTGCAGCTAACTGACTCCAGTTTACTTCTGTTTGTTTCAGAGCCATCAGCTCTCATCTGCAGACGTGTGGCTGCTCCATTGTGGTCGGGAGCAACCCAGAGAAAGTAAATAAGGTGAGTTTATTTGATTATTTGAATATGCAGACTTTTTTTTTTTTTAAACCTTAATTGATCTTAAGTTGTTTGCCGAGTTTATTGTTCTGGTTTTGTCTCAGTATTTTGAATATCAGCCTTTGTTGCACATTTGTTGCGCTGCATGTTTTTTTTTTCAAATACACAAAATCAAATACCGTGTTTTTGGACTATAAGGTGCACCAGATTATAAGGCGTATTAAGCAAAACAAAACAGTCAAATCAGTCAAATTTTATTCATTTCATTCACAATAACCACATAAAATTGGTTGGAGGTCAATAAGCACAACCAGAATTAATACATAAGGCGCTCCTGATTATAAGGCTCGCTGTCGATTTTTGAGAAAATTAACGGATTTTAAGTGCTCCTGTTAGAATGGCCTTTAGTGGCTGGATTAAGCAGGAGATTTCTAGCGTTTTATAGTCTGAAAAATACAGTAAGCTGCTTTAAGCAATATTTGTTATGAGAAATTACTGAGCGCTACAGATTGTATTACTATGCAACAAAACCTTGCCCACAAATTATTTGCAGCCTTATTGAGCTCCAAATAATTTTATTTCAGTTAACATGAATCTTAAGATCAGGTCTCTCTTGTAAATGAGTTTTTGAGGCTCAGTGGGATTAACCTGTCTAAATAAAGGTTGAATGAAAAAAAAAAGATCTAAGCAAGTTAAGTTCAGAGCAGCTAGTTTAGTGTTGTGCTGGGATCAGGATGTCAAGATGATATTATATTAATTTGTTAATAGTAATTTTGGTGTGAAGGATTAAACAAATTAATCAATTTTCTGGTATCCTGCTTGTGTTTTTGCAGATCGTGCGGACTCTGTGTCTCTTCCTCACACCCGCTGAGAGGAAGTGCTCTCGCCTCTGCAGGGCCAACTCTTCCTTCAAATATGACACGGGCCTGTTCGTTCAGGGTCTGCTGAAGGTAGATACTGCCTCCGTTCTCTCGCTTCAGATTAGTGAAGCATAATCTCCTTCTGGTTCTCCAGTTTCATCCTGCAGTTTTATAACTCTTAGGACTCCACGGGCAGCTTCGTCCTGCCGTTCCGCCAGGTGCTCTACTCGCCCTACCCGACCACACACATCGACGTCGACATCAACACGGTGAAGCAGATGCCACCGTGCCACGAGCACACGTATAACCAGCGGCGCTACATGCGCTCTGAGCTGAGCACCCTCTGGAAAACGGATAGCGAGGAGGATATTCCTCCGGACACCATCATCCACACCGACGAAACCTTCACTCCTGACCTGTGAGCATGCAGCTCTCTGACTCGTTTAAATCATCTGAAACTTTAGAATTTTACTAATTTAACATGTTAAAAGTAATTTACTGTTTTTTTTTTATTTCAGAAATATATTCCAAGATGTTGCCCATAAAGACACTTTGGTCAAGTCTTTTATAGATGAGGTAAGACCACATCTAAATTATTATTTATACCATGTTTTATCATTTACTTGGGGTTATATAATCATAAACATTATCATTTATTTTTAATTGAAGAATTGGGGGGGGGGGGGTTGCGTTTTCTGCCAAAATATAGAGAACACTTGAGTCCTAAATGAAAAATAAAAGTTGGATAAATGAATGAATGAATTCACTGGAATGTTAAATAATAACTTCCCAACTGAATTGGTAAAGTTGGATGGATGGACTTTCTTTTTTCTTTCTTCATCCATCCATCCCTCCCTCTTGCGAGGTGATTAGTTCCAGTGTTTCCCCTACCAATATACAAGTAGGGTGCCCCGCCCCATCAGTTAACAGGACTGAGTGCCCTGCCTACCCCCCTCCCCCTCACTCCCATTGACAACTGTTAGTATGGATGTAGCACAGGACGCGATACAAATGCGCTAGCAAAAATGCTATTGACGCTCCGCACCCTCACCTCGTCAATAAAAACCGGCAGCAACGTAGTGCTAAGCTAGCGGACGGGTGACACGGATGTTCATTCAACCGTTATTTAGACCGGTTAATCCCATTGAGCCTCGAGGACTCATTTACAAGAGAAATGTGACTCTGTCCCCCCCGCACTCACACACATCATCGATAAAAACAGGCAGCGACGTAGCGCTAAGCTAGTGGACAGGCAACACAGACGTGACTCCGTTCCGTCCACCCCCCAACCAAAATAAAATACGATGAGCGCCCTGCCAAGGCAACTGGTCTAGTGGAAACACTGAGTTCAATTAGCTGTCAGATTGTGTTGGGGCGGCACGGTGTCTCAGTTGGTAGAGATGTTGCCTCTCAGTGAGAAGGTCGCTGGATCAAATCCCAGCCGGGGGCCTTTCTGGGTGGAGTTTGCATGTTCTGTCTGTGCATGTGTGGTTCTCCGATTTCCTCCCACAGACCAAAAACATGCATGTTAGACTGACTGGTGACTCTAAATTGTCCCTAGGTGTGAGAGAGTTAATGTTCATTCAACCTTTATTTAAACAGATAAATCACATTGAGCCTAAAAGACTCATTTACAAGTGAGACCTGTTTGACAGACAAAAACAGCGGTTAACTGGACACATGTAGGAGTTGGAGGCGAAAAAAAATTCCTATCAGACTTTTTTTTTCCTGCCTGAGAAAGAAAACAAACCTCTAATAATAATAAAAAAAACTACCTCGCATGAACAAGCACATATTTATGTAGACAATCTGCAGACGGGGGGACGAGAGCAGTCAGCAATGTTCATAGATTCTCTCGAGGTCACTGTAAGAGTTCTGATAAGGATGGAATAATCAGTCAATGTCCTCCAGTGAGATCCATAAACATTCTCGAGGTATGTCGAGGAATGGCCAAGAATAACGACTATGAGAATCCAAGAGTCCTGAAATGATGACGCAAGTTTATTCAGCTGGTTTCATCTGGTTATCGGTTGGAAATTCCTCAGGGAGGGGGGTGGTGAGCGTCAGATCACATTTTCTCCAGGCGAATTCAGATAAGATGACCTTCAAGGCCAGCCAGGAGAGCCAAATTCAGATAAACACACAGTTGTTTGGGGGACAGGCAGAACTTCATGATATCTGTGTTTGTCCAAATGGTTCTGAAATGTCCAAATTACATGGCCACACCAATGGAACGTGACTGAGTAAAATCCCCAAGATCTGATCCATTCAGCCCAAAGCATTTGAGTCCGGGTACTCGAGACACGAACCAAGCCTTCATAAAGGCAAGCAGCGTGATCGGGTCCAAATTTGCTGTCAACGACTTCCTTGATTGTAGATAAAACCAGCAACCAGCCGAATCCAAAAAGTAGGAACCAGTTATCGTAAATCCAATTAAATATGCGTCCTTAAAATCCACAGATGGCAGCAGAGATAGACACATCATCAAGTCTTCCAGTCGATGAGATATCCAGCTGCGTGCGTGCCAACAGGGCAAATCGGCTCGCCTAAAGCCTGTCTTCTCTTTGAAGAAATGTTGTAAATTGAGTTGAGGGACCAACTGATCAAAACAAGTGCATAATTATGGTTTGGAAGAAATGCAAGAGAAGCTCAGAAGCAGTTTCACAGACAGACAGAGCAGCAAAGCGGAGAGGGAGGGGAGAAGCAGCCGATCTCGGCAAGAGCAAGTGGTGAAGTGAATGTTTGTCTCGTTTGTCTCTATGTGTCCCTGTGATGGACTGGAGACCTGTCCAGGGTGTCCCCCACCTCTCGCTCAGTGTTGGTTGGATATGGGCACCAGTGACCCCCGTGACCTTGAAAGGAAGAAGCGGGTAAAGATAATGGATGGATCAGAAAAAGGGTTGATAATAATGGATGGATGGATGGATGGATGGATGGATGGATGGATGGATGGATGGATGGATGGATGGATGGATGGATGGGGGGATGG